CAACCTTTGGCACACAGCCTGCCAGGGTAAGCACCCTGGCGGGCCGGGCCAGTTTGTTTACCTGCCGCGTCCGCAGGTTCGGCCGATCGCGGTTCCCACTGGCTGCGGTTCGCTGCTCCAGGCCAATGGGGGCTGGGGGAAGTGGCGCGGGTTGAGGGATGTGCTGGCTGCCACTTCCCACAGCCCCCATTGGCCTGGAGTGCTTACCCTGGCAGGCTGTGTGCCAAAGGTTGCCGATCCCTGCTTTAAGGGATGGTTCATGGTAGAGTGGCCTGTTAACACTTCTGCAGTCATAGGACAAAAAGAGGGGATTAATGGGTTATGGATTGTTATAATAAGCATTTAAATTTAAATTCATTTTTCTGCTAGATACTACAAATTATGGACTGAGTAGAGCCATTGGATTTATGGCTTATTACAACAATCTGTAACCCACTAACCCCCCTTTTGGTCCTAAAACTAATCCCCTCTAACCTTCTGCCATTTTCAGAAGCCTGAGGGGGTGAGAAATGGACTCTTTAGCGTGCCGAAAAAGTTAACAAATCTGAGCTTTGGTGGATGGACCACATTTGTTCATTAACCCTTTCAACAGCTTCATAGACGACATGAACAAGAAAAGGATCAATATAGATTCTTCTGGTACCATGCAAGAGAGAGCCCTTATGGCAGAGAAACAATGGTGAGATGGAGCTGGTTACGCTGGCATTAACTTTTTGAAGGCGGCAGGCTAAGGGAACAGTGGCAGTGTAATGGAGTTGGGGGAACTCAAATGGGCAAAGTATTGTGAGCTGTGTTGTACAGATTAAAAATAGTAATCCGTTTTTGCACAATCAGGAGCTGCCATCAGAGTATATAATGTTAATGCTAAACAGTATTTAACAAATGCAGGTTGATATAGTCTGGCAACATTAGGACATTATGCAAATAGAATGGGTATCAATAAAAATCGCCAGGAGGGATTGGATAAGTTTGGTAATTGTTTTTAATTTTTTTTCTCCTTTCTTGCTTTGAGAGGACTTAATATGCTAGTTCACTGACCAAGCAGTGTTAAAAGTCCTAAAAAAAGATACATTTTAATTAAATGTTCACAGTCTACCTGAAATCTGGTGTAGTGAAGTGCAAAGAAAACAAACAGAGGGCAGGGGGAAGTCTCTGATCCACCATTTATAGAAATCTTAACTGTTAATTGACTAAAAATTTTTACTTACTACAGTGTTTTTTTTTTAAGCTGATTATGTCTCTTTATAATGGCATGTTGATGGGTTAAAAGTAAATGTAAACAAAACTGCAGTGGAACTGCTACTTAAAAAGACATTGCAAGGGTTTTAGTACAATATTCTGCACATTGGGTGAAATGTAAATATATTGCTAATAAATGTGAACCCCAGAATCTCGTACAGTGGTGATCTCCAAAGTAGGATTGATTAAAGTAGGATTTTCGTATTCTGTTTTGTGAACACACAACGAGAAATGGAAACATAACAAAAATAGAGATGTCTGCTCTCTATGCTCTATCTCTGTATCCATCTTGCATACTTTGAGTTGTTTCCACATCTGTCTTAGTCCTAAACTGATGGCCACAGCTAATTTCTTTTAGTAAATTTTAATGCTCTAGGACCTGATCCTTCATTTCTGGTACACCCATAACTTCCACTGATGGAGGAGAAAATATGGCAATTAGTAGACTTCAAATACCTTGCATTTTCTCAACTTTTACCTTCACCACAAATTCTGTGTCATGGGAATTCTTTTCTGTCCTTGATGTGACAGTTGCTTATATGCTACACATCTTATTTTATCGCCACAGAAAGGTGGTTCTAGCATGAAAATAACAGTGCTCCTACTTGTTCTGGCTGACACACTTCATCTTCCCCAGTGCTTTTTCAAAGCTTCCACACACAAAAAGTTGTGAAGTTGATGGCAGTTAATTTCCCTTAGTTGCCTTATGTCTTTCTGAAAATATTAATGCACTTAAATAGAGTTCTGCAGCTGCACACTTACACTTTACAAGCACCTGTTCTGTAATACTACAGCAACAACTAATGGCCGGGCTGGAAGTCAAGTCACTGCTATGCATTTATAGATTAAAGCAGGGATTGGCAACCTTTGGCATGCAGCCTGCCAGGGTAAGCACTCTGGTGGGCCAGGCTGGTTTGTGTACCTGCTGTGTCCGAAAGTTCGGCCGATCGCGGCTCCCACTGGCCGCTCCAGGCCAATGGGGGCTGCGGGAAGGATGTGCTGGCTGCCGCGTGCCAAACATTGCCGATCCCTGGATTAAAGCCTTGCCAAAACTAAGAATTGCTCCAGCAGCTTATAAAGAGAACTGTGGCCTCTTGGAATCTTTTCCTTTCCTTTTTTATTTTCCCCCACAAGACCTGTCTGCCCTGGGCTCAAAATCCAGTTCAGTCTGACTCTGGCAATCAGACTGTATATTTTGAACAGGAAACCTCCCTTAAGTAGTTTGCACAGTCATGTTGTCTGACTTTCTGCCCATTTCTTTGGTACTTGCTTACTTAGAAAAATTTTGAATTTTTTTATTTGTTTTTTTTTGCATTCCTCCCCTGAGCTCTATAGGTGCAATGATCTGTGCTTGCAGGCCCCTAACATGCTTTTTTGTTTGTAGCATGCTTTAGAAACAGTGCTCCTGTGTCACAGCACTTCCCTAGAAGTTCAGTTCTGTGTGAATGGGGTGGAGAATGTTACTGTCTCCAGACTCTGCTGACAAACAAATCCTCTCTTCCCCCTTCCCTTCTGTTGTTGTGTCCCTGCCCACTCTGTCTACCTTGGCTTAGAAACATCTTTTATTTGGAAGAACTATAAAAGGTCTCTGTGCAGGTGGTGCTCAATACCATAGGTGTTCCTCGCTCCTAAAATATACTTCAGGTTAGAAGTCCTGAAAATGAGTGGAATGCAGTCTTGTCACATTATTTCAAGTCTGTGATGGCTTGGGGTTAAATGCTAGTGCATGCACACTAGTGCTGCTTCAGAATTTCAGAGGAAGAAATAATCTTATTTGTAGCTCTGAAGATTGTAATACTCTAGTCATAGCATTTTAATTTTAATGGGGATTCATGTTTCCGTTTAGCAAGTGATTTCCCTGGTGGGGATTCTGTCTGCAGAACTAGCCTCAGAAGTATTGTGGTGGGAACAAAGTGACATGAATACTTCCTCATAAAAGGATCCAGCAAAGGACATGCGCTGGAAGCAGTTGTTGCAGAACACTTATTTCTCTTAAGCACGTGAACTTATTTCATACTCTCTGAAGTAAGGAGACCAAAGGGAAAAGGTAGCAGAGATATACCAAGAAGTTTATTTTATGTATTAGTTGGTATCTGTATTTGTATAATAAATTAAAAATGGCTCTTTAAGAGCCAGGTGTCATGCAATATGTTCCCTGTGTAGTTCTTAAAGGAAATCTGACTGGTGGGCTAAATAAAATAAGTGCAGAGTATTCTTCCATGAATTGCCTTTGCAGATCTCTGTTCTAGGAGTCATGTGCTATAACTGCACACCACAGAACTTCTACTAGTTAAGAACCCTTACCAGTAAAAAAACATGTGCATTAATAATGGATCCATATTTTCTAAAAGTCCTGCCCTGTATCCATCCTTTGTTCTCATTTTCTACCAGCAAAGAGCAGTCATGGAGCCGCTCTCTTGTTGTTTCTCACTAATGTTAAGAGATTTTAAATAGCTAAACTCAAAAGAATTTTTAACCTACTAGACTTGTCTTGAATGCAGTATTGTTGAAGCTGTGTTGGTCCCAGATCCCAGACTTGAAGAAGAGTTCTGTGTAAGCTCAAAAGTTTCTCTCACCAACAGAAGTTGAACCAATCAAAGATATTATCTCACACATCTTGTATCTCTAAACTTGTCTTAGCTTTTGGGCTAACTAGCCAGCAGATGGTGCTGAAGCACTAGACTGTTAAAATATATTTTCAGCTGTTATGAAAATGTTCTGGTATATCTAGAAATGATGTTGTCTTCTCCTTTAAATCCTTCCTCTTTAAGGCCCCTATCCTGGAAAGTCTTAAGCACACGTTTGACTGTATGCACTATGAGCAATCCCACTGAATTCAGAGGGACTACTCAATGTCTGAAGTTAAGCACATGCATAAATATTTGCAGGATTAGGGCCTAAGAGAACAGTTTTACTTTGTCATGTTTCCAAAAATACTAATTTCTAATGTCTTTGAAGGCATAAGAGAATTGAGTATGATATGCCAAATCCAAGAGAGAGCTCCACTGAGTACTAAAGAACTTGTCATATTTCATTAAGAGACACATTTAACAAGATGGTCATTTTTAGGTTTCTGTACAAAAAGATTTGTAGAAAAGTTTTATGAAGTAAATATTTGGGAAAGCTTTAAAATCCAGTATTTTTCTTGACCAGGCCTGTAGTTTATTGCAAAAGGCCAGCTTTTATGACATAGTAAATTTTATCTACATTTTTTACTTCAAGGTAGAAAGTGAACACTTAAAGGGTGCAGTCTGTGTTCTTGTAACTTATATTAGTTTTAATGGTATTGCTAGTAAATCTTAAATCCCAGTTTCCGTATACTTTTTCCTTCTTTTTTATTCTGACTAGTTTTATAGTAATGGGGTTAAAAAATGGAACAAATCCTGCCTGGCCTTGCCTCACTCAACTCACCTGCCAACATGCCTTTAGTTCTGCTGCCTGTTTACAACCATTCCCTTAGGCTGTAAGCCAGAAGGTGGGGTCGGGAGTCATGTCCAGAGTTAATAGGATATTCTGTAAGATTGAGTATAAAACTTGGAGTTAGAAACTGAGTTCTAGTCCTGACTCTGCCAGTGACTAAACCAAGTCAATCATCTCTCCTTGTACAGGGCTTTGAGTGTGCTTAACACTGACTAAAAGGGTGGGGAATAACTGGCAATTTTTGAAGTTGGGAACTGGAAGTATGTTTACTGTTGTATGTAATTCTAAATGTAAAACTCATGTGTATTTAATATACTCTTTTTTTTATTATTATTATTTAGGCATTTTCCGATTGGATTGCTATTTGACCTTCATGCATCAAATACAGCCCTTCCTTGGAACATCACAGTACATTTCAAGGTACGACCCAAATACGTTCTTTCTCTGGTTAAAAATAAATCAGCTTAGTAAGAACTGCATGAAACTTTGAAACCAGAAGAAGGTTTCATAATTATACTTACACCTATTTCTCAAGTATATTACTTTTTTTTTTTTTTGAAGGGGAAAGTTTGTGCTCCAGTTCAACTTTTCAGAACTTTCTGGAAATCCAGAGCTGGCTCTTTCTGTCCAAGAAGTATGCATATATGTTTAAATGACCTGGCTTGGAAAATGACTCTCTGTTTTAATCTAAAAAATGAACTGTTTGCTTCAGAATAAATTGTTCGAATGTATGCTGGTGCAGTTGGGTAGAGGAGAAGGCAAGAACTCTACAGTTGTCTTTTGATTCACTGTAACCTGAGAAAGAAAGTCAGAGTTAGAGTGCTTGTTCCTTTGGAAATATTTGGAGGGGCATAGGCTTATACAAATCTTGGAAAATTCAGATTACCGTTTGGTATATTGAAAGCACCCTTGATCTGGGTCCCCTTCAAGGACTAAGTGAAATGAATTTGGTAGCCTTGCAACAGTTTAGTCACTGGGGGAAAACAGTGCACTGATTACACATTGTAAAACTGTCAAATATAATTTAACAGTGTTACTGATCTTTGCTCAGGAGAGTAGTTGCACTGAATTAGCATTGAACCTGAATTATGTTACACCCAGTAGTCACACACAGTACTTTGAAATATGAATTGAAGTCAAAATCACAAAAGAATCTTCCATGCCATATTAGCAATTTTCATACTTTTAAAATAAAAACAAAACTATATTTTTTTCTATTGTAGAGATGCAAAAGAGTTAACATGGTGAACAAAACTGGCTAGGAAAAACTGGCTTGTTGACTGATTTTGTGTGTTTGTGAAATGGAAATCAAAATTAGGAAGTATTTACTTAGGTTGTTCTGAATGCCCTCACTAATTGAGCTAAGGGACATTCAAACAACATAGTTTTTAAAAAGTTTGGGAAGTCTTGCTAACAGGAACACTCCAGATGAATCATTGGTAGCTGTGTCATGCATTTTGGAGAACTATAGCTGTGGGTAAGTCTGCTGGGAAGATTTTAAACATCATCACTTCTGGAATTGTGTGCGCCTATTTTGTCTGAATCATAGGAACATAAGAATGGCCCTACTGGGTCAGACCAAAGGTCCATCTAGCCCAGTATCCTGTCTTCCGACAGTGGCCAGTGCCAGGTGCCCCAGAGGGAATGAACAGAACAGGTCATCATCAAGTGATCTATCCCCTGTTGCTCATTCCCAGCTTCTGGCAAACAGAGGCTAGGAACACTATTCCTGCCCATCCTGGCTAATAGTCATTGATGGACCTATCCTCTATGAATTTATCTAGTTCTTTTGTGAACCCTGTTATGGTCTTGGCCTTCACCACATCCTCTGGCAAGGAGTTCCACAGGTTGACAGTGCATTGTGTGAAGAAATGCTTCCTTTGTTTGTTTTAAACCTGCCTATTAATTTCATTTGGTGACCCCTACTTCTTGTGTTATGAGAAGCAATAAACAACACTTTATCTACTTTCTTTACACCAGTCATGATTTTATAGACCTCAATCATATCTCCCCTTAGCCGTCTCTTTTCCAAGCTGAAAAGTCCTATTAATCTCTCCTCATACGGAAGCCATTCCATACCCCTAATAATTTTTGTTGCCCTTTTCTGAACCTTTTCCAATTCCAGTACATCTTTTTTGAGATGGGGTGACCACATCTGCACACAGTATTCAAGATGTGGCCGTATCACGGATTTATATAGAAGCAATATGATATTTTCTGTCCTATTATCTATCCCTTTCTTAATGATTGCAAACATTCTGTTCACTTTTTTGAGTGCCGCTGCACATTGAGTGGATGTTTTCAGAGGACTATCCACAATGACTCCAAGATCTTTCTTGAGTGGTAACAGCTAATTTAGACTCCATCATTTTATATGTATAGTTGGGATTATGTTTTCCAATGTGCATTATTTTGCATTTATCAACATTAAATTTCATCTGCCATTTTGTTGCCCAGTCACCTAGTTTTGAGAGATCCTTTTGTAGCTCTTTGCAGTCTGCCTGGGTCTTAACTATCTTTAGTAATTTTGTATCATCTGCAAATGTTGCCACCTCACCGTTTACCCCTTTTTCCAGATAATTTATGAATATGTTGAATAGGACTGGTCCCAGAACAGACCTTTGGGGGACACCACTATTTACCTCTCTCCATTTTGAAAACTGGCCATTTATACCTACCCTTTGTTTCCTATCTTTTAACCAGTTACCATTCCATGAGAGCACCTTCCCTCTTATCCCATGGCAGTTTATTTTGCATAAGAGCCTTTGGTGAGGGACCTTGTCAAAGGCTTTCTGAAAATCTAAGTACATTATATCTGCTGGATCCCCTTGGTCCACATACTTGTCAGCCCCCTCAAAAAATTCTAGTAGATTGGTGAGGCATGATTTTCCCCTTACTAAAACCATGTTGACTCTTCCTCAGCAAATTATGTTCATCTATATGTCTGACAATATTGTACTTTATTATAGTTTCAATCAGTTTACCTGGTACTGAAGTCAGGCTTACAGGCCTGTAATTGCCGGGATCACCTCCGGAGCCCTTTTTAAAAATTGGTGCCACATTAGCTATCCTCCAGTCATCTGGTACAGAGGCTGATTTAAATGATAGGTTACAGACAACAGTTAGTAGTTCTGCAATTTCACATTTGAGTTCCTTCAGAACTCTTGGGTGAATACCATCTGGTCCTGGTGACTTATTGCTGTTTAATTTATCAGTTTGTTCCAAAACCACCTCTAATGATACCTCAGTCTGGGACAGTTCCTCAGATCTGTCACCTAAAAAGAATGGCTCAGGTTTGGGAATCTCCCTCACATCCTCAGTCGTGAAGACCAATGTAAAGAATTCAGTTAGTTTCTTGGCAATGGCCTTTCATCCTTGAGTGCTCCTTTAGTAGGGTGACCAGATAGCAATTGTGAAAAAACAGGACCGGGGGTGGGGGGTAATAGGCGCCTATATAAGAAAAAGTCCCAAAAAATGGAACTGTCCCTTTAAAAATGGGACATCTGGTCACCCTACCTTTAGCACTTCGATCGTCCAGTGACCCCACTGGTTGTTTAACAGGCTTTCTGCTTCTGATGTACTTAGCAAACTTTTTTTTTATTACTTTTTGAGTCTTTGGCTAACTGTTCTTCAAATTCTTATGTGGCCTTCCTAATTGTATTTTTACGTTTCATTTGCCAGTGTTTATGCTCCTTTCTATTTTCCTCACTAGGATTTAACTTTCACTTTTTAAAAGATGCCTTTTTTCCTCTCACTACTTCTTTTACTTTGATGTTTAGCCACGGTGGCTCTTTTTTGGGTTCTCTTACTATGTTTTTTAATTTGGGATATACATTTAAGTTGATTCTCTATTATTGTGTCTAAAAAGTTTCCATGCAGCTTGCAGAGATTTCACTTTTGGCACTGTACCCTTTAATTTCTGTTTAACTAACCACCTCATTTTTGTGTAGTTCCCCTTTCTGAAATTAAATGCTACAGTGTTGGGCCACCATGGTGTTTTTCCTGCCATAGTGATATTAAATTTAATTATATTATGGTCGCTATTACCAAGCGGTCCAGCTCTATTCACCTCTTGGACCAGATCCTGTGCTCCACTTAGAACTAAATCAAGAATTGCCTCTCCTCTTGTGGGTTTCAGGACCAGCTGCTCCAAGAAGCAATCATTTAAGGTGTCAAGAAACTTTATCTCTGTACCCCTCCTGAGGTGACATGTACCCAGTCAATATCGGTATAATTGAAATCCTCCATTATTATTATTGTGTTTATTTTAATAGCCTTTCTAATCTCCCTGAGCATTTCACAGTCACTATCACCATCCTGATCAGGTGGTTGGTAATATATCCCTACCGCTATATTCTTCTTATTAGAGCATGGAATTTCTATCCATAGAGATTCTATGGTACAGTTTGATTCATTTATGATTTTTAGTAAGGTACAATCCTCTGCCTTAACGTTACACTAACAGTTGTTTCAGATTATATTTCCTTTTAGTTATAAATTTTTATTAAATATAAACATAACTTGTTAGAAAATAATAATCGAAAATTCAAGTATTTAAGAAAAGGTGTAAGTTATACAAGATAAAAGAATGTCGACGAGTTGAGGCAATATGGGTTATGATTCCTAGAGGAATAGGTAAGGAAACAAGACAATGAGATATTTGAATAAGATAAAATAAGATTCATGCTATGCACTTCTTTCTACAGAAATTTCCTTTTAAAGAATATGGAAGTGTCCAGGAATGCGTATTCTGATTCTTTTAGGAAGTGTGCCCTCTAATTGAGTTCCTTCCAGTGTGCACCTGTAAGCCTCAACATTTTTAAAATGAGGTTTTGAGGATAGACAAGTTGCAGAGAAGCCACCAGAGCTCTTGAGCTCCTTTTGGAAATACCTGAAAGAGAGGTGGCATTGACAAAGCCTTCTTGAAAATGTCCAAATGATACTGTAGACCCTGTTTAATTTCTTAGATTGTGCGATGTAATCATTGCACATTCTAAGAAAAGTAGCTTTTACTGGCCCATTTCCTGTATTAACCACATCATGAGTACAAACATTCTAAGAATCTAAATGGTGTCTTGAGGTACATTTTTGGCCTCTTGACATCATAACCCACTATCACAGATGGAATAAGAGAGAGGGACTTGCCAGTTTTTTGCTGTTTTCATTCATGCCTAACACAAGCAATCGGCTCCCAATTTTGTGAGCTCTTACACATGCAGTACGTTATGGGGCAGCCTTGGAACCTACATAATTTGATTTGAATGTGTGATTAAAATAATTCTTCACTGGGAGAGTGGGAAAACAGATAACATGATTTGGGGGGATAACGTGGGTGAAAGGGAAGGTTGAGGAGGAGGGTCATAGGAACAACAAAAGGGAAATCAATGGTGGAATCTGCTCAACAGCTTAGATGTCCATAC